TTGAGTCCGCCCGGTTTCGGGGTTGTCAACTCATCATCGGCCAGACGAATGGACAAAATAGACTTTTGTGTGTGTCTCTGCCACACCAAACAAAGCATATCTGCCAGCCATTGCATCACATTCCATCCTCGCCTCGACGTCAGCTTCAAAAATGACCCAAACCACTCGCGCATTTTCGCGCACGCTTCACTCGGCCCCAACCCCATCTTGCAAAGCCAACTCACAAACCTTCCAACCGGAACAGACGACAGAGCCCAGCAACTACGTGGTTTCCTCACCGGACCTTCACACGACAATACTGCAAGGTCCAGTTGACTGTGCCAACATGGCGTCGTCAAGGCATCAGTCAAACTCGCCTGAAGCCGGCGGCAATTAGAAAAAAAGGTAACATTGGCTCACCTGCCCCTTGGTTGAACGTATCTTTCGGCGGGGCATGTGGTCACTTGGTCCGGTTTAAAAGACCATTTGCCATTTTGTGTGCAATTACCTCGGCCCACCTCTCTCTCTAACCATATAAATAAAAATTAAAAAAAAGAAATATATATATTGTGTATGTGTATGTGAGTGTGCGTGTAAATGGAGAGATATTTGCAGACTAGGGCACGAGTGCATTTCTGGTAATGTTCGTTTTTATTTCTTCTTCGCCGTGTCATACAAAAAGGACAGATTGGGTGCCAATTTGTGCTGTTGTATGGGGCTTGGATACATGATCGTGAACCCACTCGCGCATACAACTATTGACACATGCACCAACCTTCATAGGACCGCATGTGAGTGTGTGCCGAAGTCGGCCAGAATTGATGCCAACCCAACAAGACCCCCTTTTCTACGCTTCCATTCTGTCGGTCGGTGCGACATGATGTTGCAGTAAACCCTGTGAAGTTGCTATCCGACAAGCAAGACGGTCGCATTCTGCGCGGCTGACCACCCGATTTGGGCCTGGCTTCGGAGACAACCAAAACTCCCAGAAGGACAAACACACCAGACCTTGCATCGTTTGATGAAAGTCTGTCGGTATGCATATGTGTGTATGTGTGTGTGTGTGTGCATGTTTTTCAGTTGAAACACGACATAAACCGTCTACCGACCCCATTTGTCGGACCAGATCAGCTCACCAACATGGCGGCCTTACACACAAACACATACACACACACACAACCTGGCAACCTGCGGAATATACCAAAACCCAATGAGTGCGCAAGTTGAGCCTAGCAACTTTGTCCCATGTCATCTGCCCTCGGCCAAAGTCTCAGCTGTAGCCCACACGTTCTGGGCTCGAGTCCCGCCATTGGTATAATCTGTAAAAAGTGAAGTCGTCCTCTGAGCTGCTCAGGCCTAATCACACACTCACAGACCCCAAAATCGCCTTGGCAACATGAGCAATTGTAATTGTCACCATAATCCACCGTTTGCGCTCACACGAAGCTCCTATTTGGTCAGCTTCGTCGACGTTTCAGTTGATCCGATTCCGTCTGAAAGGGACTGGTCAGAAGCTCGCTGAAGAACTAGGCTGAGCGAACAAAAGTGTGCACAAAGAAGAGTTGGGTTTCTAAAAACACTCTTGTTGAGCTCACTAGACTTCCATTTCGAATAAAAGAGTGTGAAGATCCCATCAGAGTGGAATTGCATGCTTACAATCGTCCGGCTCATGCCTAAATTGGATGAATTATACCGCGATTCGGTTGGTTCACTTGACCTCCAACCTCAAAATATGTGTGTATTCCTGTTGGCATGTATTAATGTACCATCATGTGTACGATTATGTAGTTGCATGTAACATCTGCCCTCAGTTGTACAGATTTGATCACCACCATTTTGGCTATCTTTTCGCTATTTTGCCCATCATTCTAATTGGGTAGTGTTGAACACACATCTGAT